AAGGGGGGGAACCGGTCAACCTTTTCTCACTGATTCTACACGACCTTAGTGTCCGAAAATTATCGTTAAATAATTTATGTGATTTGAACTATTTAACGTTAATTGCTCAGAATAGAGTTAAATGGAGAAGTATGCAAATTGCATGACTTTTGTTTGAGAAAGATTAGGGGACAGAAATGTTTACTTTGTTTACTATCTGTTTCTTAGAGCTTTTGTTTATATAAACTATGTTGGTTATAAAGTTAACTTTGGTTTTAGAACAGTGTGTGAGGGCGCGTACAGATGGAAGTGCACTGATTTGTTGTTCAAATGGTTAGAATAAAGATTTGTCCGAACCGGCTGAAATCGTTGTTACGTTGAAAACTGTCTCCTCGATTACCTTGTTACCTAGCTAGTAACTTGGTATGAAGAGAGAGTGGAAACCAGACGAAAGTAAGACGAAGTCTCGGGGATCGGGGATGCAGCCTACAATGGGCATGAATATATAGAGGGCCCTAGGTTGCTCCCCAGATCGGCAGTCCAATAACACATTTTCTGAAAATTTGTAACTAATTTTCAAACTTTTCATCCTACGGCACTGCTATGTAATAAGCGCCATGAGCTGGCACAGAATTTGTTGTCTCTGATTTTGATCGATAAATTTGGTACCAAAAAATGCCTCTAAGTGTGAATAATGAAAATTCACCGTGTAGCACGATAACGTCGAGCTGTATGTGGGACTCCTAACATATTGAATATTTTGAAATAATTCTTACAGGATCGTAATGAGCTTAGTCAGACGCAACTTTTAGCACGAAATTTTTCAAAAATTTGTTCAAAATTTCACAGATTAAAAATTCACAGATTGATAACATTTAAACTGTTCAATCTAGCATGTTCTGAATAATATGTTGGCTGAATAATGAATATTAGCTGAATGGATGAAAGTGGTCACGTGGCTACCACCTTCTTAATGGACAGGGTTGTAATATCAATTTAAAGCTGATATGACACGTAATATAATTTAACTTGATCTGTTAATCTGTTTGAAAGGCTTGCACCGCCTCCCTATTATTACCCACATCTTATTCAAATGCTTATAGTTTACATATATCGACTGTTGAGAATACTGAATAGAACATTATACATGATGACCGTTGCAATAACACGATACCGAGATTAAGATATTACATTAATGATTATAAAGATATTCTTTGAAATTTGGACTATTTTCAGTCTAATAATTTCCGGGAGCATGGCATACAAGATGGCTATCGTTTGCGTATTTAATATGAAAATGTAATACTGTAATTTAATAGGTACTGCAATTTAATACTGCAATTTAGCAGTATTTTGCTAAGATTGTGTCTACCAATGCAATGGCCAACTAGTGTAACAATTTTGGCAGTTAAGAAGTTGCAAAAGTATGAACCCGCTCAGTCGAAACCAGCACCGAAGCCTCCGAAAAAAAGCAATTTCAAGTGACCGAAGTAAAATGTACATACCTCAAACAAAATTATGAAATATTACCAGTGAGAGTGAAAGAACACACTCAAACTTAATTAAAAATTACGGAATGTAAGGTAAGTCTGTGAGGGAGGGACAGAAAGGAGAAAGAGAGAAGGGACAGAAAGTGAGAAACTTAAGTATCATATTAGTTACAAAACCACCAATTAAACCACTTATTCAGCAGATCTAACCGATTATTTTTTGCAGCTGTATCGACCGTATCTCCGCTGGTGACTGTAAAAGTAAAGGGTGCTGTATCCAGCTCCATCCAGATACCATTCGTATCACGTGAGTAAACTTGCCCTTACATTTTTAACCTCCAGAAACAATTACTTTTTCGAGTAGACTTCGAGTATGACACACGTGTTATGACATCACACATCGTGACTAGAGATTATCTTGGTAGACCGTACTAATAACAGATACAGACACTTTAACGTACCACTAACTGCAAGTTTCATAACTTTCTACAGGTTTTAAGTTATCTGGAGAGAAGACTTCTCTCTCTTCAGAGAGTCCTACTACTGATATCTTCCTTGTGGAGGGAGAATTTTCGCTTGTTCAGGTAAATATTATAGACTAGGGGGTAGAGAACCACTCTGTCTTGCCTTTTAAAGTTTTGCTTCGCACAATCCGATATTTTCTAGGTAGCCAATTCTCCAAAACATTAGCATAGAGAAACATGACGCCACTCCCCAGGCAATGCAGTGACCGTCGGGTCAGTCTATTATTTATATAATTTTATATTTATTTATAAAATTACAAACTAGCTCAAAGCTGGAACCTTGTTCAGGTGACGTTAGACGACAGAGCTGGCGGTGATCTGAACATTATTAAAACCTCGTCTCACTTCCACCTATCCCTGCTCAACTGGAACACCCAGGCTGTCCATTCTCTCACTTTTCTCTGTCCTACTTCTGGTTAGTACTTGGGTCTTGGGTTAGCTGCTTTGTTTTGTTTCGCTAGAAACTGCTGGTAAAAACACCAAACTCTTGCCTCGCACCTTTCATCAAATTAATCGGTAAAATCCTAAAACTAATAACTTCAGTAGTCTCTAACTCTCTTCCATCAGGTCAGAAGGAAGTGTACGAAGTACTGATAACACCCTCAGAACCCGACCTAACTCCACCTCCCATCAAACTGGAGTTTTCCGAACTTATCAGCACTCTCCTCCCCACTGTCGTCCTGGGACTCCTCGTCCTTCTAATCGTCATTGGGATCGTCTTCCTAACCACCGCCAGCTACAGACGTCTCAAATCCACTTCGTCTCAGTGGGACTCGCCCCTAACTATGAACTCAATGTTAACTACTCCAGTTAAGATAGGTTCCCCGTTCAGGCCGGCGTCAGTGACAGTGACCCCTACTAGACTTAAAACACCGCTTTATACAAAACCCCGGGGGACTCCTGGGAGTATATGAGTGCATGTGCCATGTTCGCCCGCACCCTTCATCCGCAAGCATAAATGTATTATTTGTGGTGTTTTAGTCGTTATTTGAATCATTTGGTGTGGCTGGGATCGAATATTGAATATGGTGGCAGTGTGACTATTAGTTCATGTATCGTTTTCAAACTGATGCGAAGCAAGTATTTCAATTTAACTGACAGTTTTAGGATTGCTTTTATTTTTATAATTTCATTTATACTGAAATTGTAGTTGTACTTACAGCTGACATGGTTCTTATTTAAATGTTGCTACAATTATTTTGATTACAAATTCTTTTATTTAGTACATTGGATTTAACAGGTGATACTCGTAAAATATTTGTTCCAAATACTACGACAAGACCGTCGACGAGTCTTGGTAGGTTATAAACCTACAACATTACCAATTACTGGAGCAAAGATCTCAGAACAAAGTTGAAAAACCTTTTGTCCAGATTGGTGAGATTGATTCTGGGGACATAAACAATTTGACCAAGCCTTATATGAGGTAGTCCGTTATTTTAATAATTCGTTTCAGATCAATGCAGATAATTTTATACTTCGAAGAAATTTAGACGAGCCCAGAAACCCTTACTGGCCAGGGCCTTACTTTAAAGAGATAACGATTTCCGGTTTTTTGTAACGAAAACTTCGTCTGGTTAGAGGCAGTGATCTGAAACTGGGAAGAAGAGACATCAGATAGGGCGCTATCGCTTGTGTTATCAACATTGTTAATAGTGCAGGTTATTAAACCTGAAGTGTAATCAACATTGTTCCGTACAACTCTGAACCCCACACAGTTCAAATAGAGGCCCACCTTCTGCAGAGCTTATAGGCACTCCGTTTTCATCCGTAGCGATCAGCTCCCGGACGATCTCCCCGTCGTCTTCAGATCTGGCTAACCATCTGTTACACGTAAAGTATAAGTACTTCTTTTCTTTAATTCCATAAGAGTCCTCCTGTAAAGGGAGGCTCGCCAGAATGTGTGAAGCGTGCTCTTGTCTGATATCGCAGGAATAGCGATCTCACACAGGCCAACTTTCAGCTCCACCGCCACCTGCTTGGGTGATGGTAGAAGTTAATAATATTAAATATCCCGCCTATTTAAGGCTCAAACTAGCTCTTTCCTAGTTTACACCGGAGGCGCCATATAGAGAATTTCCTTGGATAGCTGTCACGTGACAGTCACGAGATATCGATTGAGCGCGTTTACTGGTTGGATGTATAGCGCGTGACATTGAGCTATCATGCAGACCCGATTACGCACCATATAAGGCGCAATTAAGAGCTGCTTCTAGCACGTGATATTTGCACAGCTCATTACACATCCATATAAGGCGTAATTAAGAGCTTGGAGTTGCAGTGGAGTTGCAGGGAGTTGTAATAGCGTGAAATTGGGTGGTAATTCGATGATTAGGGGTACATACAAGTAAATATTTCGTGAACTATGTTGGTATAAAGCTAACTCTGGTTTAAGAACAGTGTGTGAGGACGCGTACAGATGGCAGTGCACTGATTTGTTGTTCAGTTGGTAGAATAAAGATTTGTCCGAACCGGCTGAAATCGTTGTTACGTTGAAAACTGTCTCCTCGATTACCTTGTTACCTAGCTAGTAACTTGGTATGAAGAGAGAGTGGAAACCAGACGAAAGTAAGACGAAGTCTCGGGGATCGGGGTAGCAGCCTACAATGGGCATGAATATATAGAGGGCCCTAGGTTGCTCCCCAGATCGGCAGTCCAATAACACATTTTCTGAAAATTTCTAATTTTCAAACTTTTCATCAGTCCTACGCCACTGCTATTATATGTAATAAGCGCCATGAGCTGGCACAGAATTTGTTGTCTCTGATTTTCGATAAATTTGGTACCAAAAGTTGCCTCTAAGTGTGAATAATGAAAATTCACCGTGTAGCACGATAACGTCGAGCTGTATGTGGGACTCCTAACATATTGAATATTTTGACATAATTCTTACAGGATCGTAATGAGCTTAGTCAGACGCAACTTTTAGTACCAAAATTAATTTTTGAAGCACGAAATTTTTCAAAAATTTGTTCAAAATTTCACAGATTAAAAATCCACAGATTGATAACATTCAGAAACTGCAAATTGAAATTTGCAAGTTTGAATTCTTTTAATTAGTTTTAATTACTAACATAATATCACAAATATTGTATTACAAATAATCGGTAAAATGTTAAAACTAATAACTTCAGTATGTTAGTCTCTAACTCTGTTCCATCAGGTCAGAAGGAAGTGTACGAAGTACTGATAACACCCTCAGAACCCGACCTAACTCCACCTCCCATCAAACTGGAGTTTTCCGAACTTATCAGCACTCTCCTCCCCACTGTCGTCCTGGGACTCCTCGTCCTTCTAATCGTCATTGGGATCGTCTTCCTTACCACCGCCAGCTACAGACGTCTCAAATCCACTTCGTCTCAGTGGGACTCGCCCCTAACCATGAACTCAATGTTAACTACTCCAGTTAAGATAGGTTCCCCGTTCAGGCCGGCGTCAGTGACAGTGACCCCTACTAGACTTAAAACACCGCTTTATACTAAACCTCGGGGGACTCCTGGGAGTATATGAGTGCATGTGCCATGTTCGCCCGCACCCTTCATCCGCAAGAATAAATGTATTATTTGTGGTGTTTTAGTCGTTATTTGAATCATTTGGTGTGGACTGTGGCTGGGATCGAACATTGAATATGGTGGCAGTGTGACTATTAGTTCATGTATCGTTTTCAAAGTGATGCGAAGCAAATATTTCAATTTTACTGACGGTTTTAGGATTGCTTTTATTTTTATAATTTCATTTATACTGAAATTGTAGTTGTACTTACAGCTGACATGGTTCTTATTTAAATGTTGCTACAATTATTTTGATTACAAATTCTTTTATTTAGTACATTGGATTTAACAGGTGATACTCGTAAAATATTTGTTCCAAATACTACGACAAGACCGTCGACGAGTCTTGGTAGGTTATAAACCTACAACATTACCAATTACTGGAGCAAAGATCTCAGAACAAAGTTGAAAAACCTTTTGTCCAGATTGGTGAGATTGATTCTGGGGACATAAACAATGTGACCAAGCCTTATATGAGGTAGTCCGTTATTTTAATAATTCGTTTCAGATCAATGCAGATAATTTTATACTTCGAAGAAATTTAGACGAGCCCAGAAACCCTTACTGGCCAGGGCCTTACTTCAAAAGTTAAAGAGATAACGATTTCCGGTTTTTTGTAACGAAAACTTCGTCTGGTTAGAGGCCTAGTGATCTGAAACTGGGAAGAAGAGACATCAGATAGGGCGCTATCGCAATTGTGTCATCAACATTGTTAATAGTGCAGGTTATTAAACCTGAAGTGCAATCAACATTGTTCTGTATAACTCTGAACCCCACACAGTTCAAATAGAGGCCCACCTTCTGCAGAGCTTATAGGCACTCCGTTTTCATCCGTAGCGATCAGCTCCCGGACGATCTCCCCGTCGTCTTCAGATCTGGCTAACCATCTGTTACACGTAAAGTATAAGTACTCCTTTTCTTTAATTCCATAAGAGTCCTCCTGTAAAGGGAGGCTCGCCAGAATGTGTGAAGCGTGCTCTTGTCTGATATCGCAGGAATAGCGATCTCACACAGGCCAACTTTCAGCTCCACCGCCACCTGCTTGGGTGATGGTAGAAGTTAATAAATATTAAATATCCCGCCTATTTAAGGCTCAAACTAGCTCTTTCCTAGTTTACACCGGAGGCGCCATATAGAGAATTTCCTTGGATAGCTGTCACGTGACAGTCACGAGATATCGATTGAGCGCGTTTACTGGTTGGATGTATAGCGCGTGACATTGAGCTATCATGCAGACCCGATTACGCACCATATAAGGCGCAATTAAGAGCTGCTTCTAGCACGTGATATTTGCACAGCTCATTACACATCCATATAAGGCGTAATTAAGAGCTTGGAGTTGCAGTGGAGTTGCAGGGAGTTGTAATAGCGTGAAATTGGGTGGTAATTCGATGATTAGGGGTACATACAAGTAAATATTTCGTGAACTATGTTGGTATAAAGCTAACTCTGGTTTAAGAACAGTGTGTGAGGACGCGTACAGATGGCAGTGCACTGATTTGTTGTTCAGTTGGTAGAACAAAGATTTGTCCGAACCGGCTGAAATCGTTGTTACGTTGAAAACTGTCTCCTCGATTACCTTGTTACCTAGCTAGTAACTTGGTATGAAGAGAGAGTGGAAACCAGACGAAAGTAAGACGAAGTCTCGGGGATCGGGGTAGCAGCCTACAATGGGCATGAATATATAGAGGGCCCTAGGTTGCTCCCCAGATCGGCAGTCCAATAACACATTTTCTGAAAATTTCTAATTTTCAAACTTTTCATCAGTCCTACGCCACTGCTATTATATGTAATAAGCGCCATGAGCTGGCACAGAATTTGTTGTCTCTGATTTTCGATAAATTTGGTACCAAAAGTTGCCTCTAAGTGTGAATAATGAAAATTCACCGTGTAGCACGATAACGTCGAGCTGTATGTGGGACTCCTAACATATTGAATATTTTGACATAATTCTTACAGGATCGTAATGAGCTTAGTCAGACGCAACTTTTAGTACCAAAATTAATTTTTGAAGCACGAAATTTTTCAAAAATTTGTTCAAAATTTCACAGATTAAAAATCCACAGATTGATAACATTCAGAAACTGCAAATTGAAATTTGCAAGTTTGAATTCTTTTAATTAGTTTTAATTACTAACATAATATCACAAATATTGTATTACAAATAATCGGTAAAATGTTAAAACTAATAACTTCAGTATGTTAGTCTCTAACTCTGTTCCATCAGGTCAGAAGGAAGTGTAC